GCCTCATGAGTAAAGTCTTTGCACACCTGTAGAGGCATGTGATTTCATTATGAAGAGTCTATATGATGTGTGTGTGTGTGTGTGGGCACATGTGCTGTAGAGCTTATGTAGGAGTTAAGAGGAGAACATTTTGGAGTCAGCTCTTTCCTCCCACTCTTTGTAGGGATTGTACCTTGCATTGCCAGGCATACATAGCAATTACCATTACCTGCTGAGCCATATCACTGGCTGAAAAATTTTAATGTTGGTAAATATTCAATATTTTCTTTGTGGGTTATGCTTTTATATCTTATGACTTAAGATAGACTGGTTAGTGAGCCCCAGGAATCCTCCTGTCTTTGCCTCTTCAGTACTGGGATTATAAGTGTGTGCAACTACATTGATCACGTTTAGAGTTTCCAAGGATGGAATTCAGGTTGTCTGGCTTGACAGCAGAGCCTTTACCCAGTGAACTCTCATCTGCCTATAAAGTTAAACAGCGTCCACTTTTGATTTCCTAGTCCCCTCCAGACATCACTGCTGGGCCTTGGTAACTGGGTCTTTGTGCTTTTTAGGCATATAGCTTAGTTGCAGAGGGTTCTCTTAGCATCCATGAAGCCCTGGATTCTATTTGTAGCATGGTTAAACACAGAACAAAAGAAACACTAATGAACACTTCCCCTACAGATAACTCCTCCCCAAACAAAACACCTTGTTTGTAAATTTTTTTAATGTTTCTTGTTCCATGTTTAGATCCACATTGTTTTGAATTAAAAATAGTATTCTTTGACCACTTCATATACTTATATAGTGTATTTGATCATCTCTATCCCTAGTCTTCTCTTTTATCCCATTCCTCCTGAACCCTTCTTTGCCTTACAACCCTTCCTCACTTTTCTTCACCTTCCTCTGTAGCTCACTGAGTTTAATTAGGGTAGTTGGCATGAGCATGGTGAGGGTTAATTTATTGGAACATGGGCAACTTAATGGCTATACCACTGAACAACTGGTGTCCATGCAAAAGGATCCACTTCACAAGGCCGAGAGTAACCCAACCTATGGAATAAACAGAAGGCAATTTCACAACTTGTTCATTAGCAAAACAGCAACAGTGGGTTCCTGCTAGGGCTTGTGACCTCCAATGTGGAGTAGGGTTCAAATCCAGTCAGAAGGCAGTTGTCTGTCCCCATGAAGTCATGGTGGTATTTTCCCCGTGGAATATCTTGCCTGGCATCTGAGTATTATAGCAGGCAGGGTCCACTGTTAAAACGTTGGTTTCCATCAGTCTGCACTGCACCTTCCAGGCAGTTTGAAATCTAGCTGTAGGGAGGAATTGTCTAGCTCAATTCCAGCCTGATCTTCAACCAAATTGTGTGGTGTCTACCAATATGATCTATTAACAATAGCTTACATTGTTTTGGAGCCCTGACCAGTGGGAAGTATCCCACATTAACACTGGAATTTTCATTTCACAACCTGAGCTGGACTAGAAAAATGGCTCAACAGTTAAGAATGTTTAGTGATTTTGCAGAGGACTCTGGTTTGGTTCCTAGTACCCATGTCGGGTGGCCTACAACCACTTACAACTTAAGTTCTAGGGGTCTGATTACTTCTGGCTCCTGTGGGCACCTACTCACACAGGTACACACATATATACATAAAAAAATCTAAAACAAAATATGGAAGCTGGAATCTATTTTTTGTGTATGCTGTAGAGATCATCCTCCCTCCTCCATATTATGAAGGTCTCCGTCCTGCGTGTTCCATTAGTGATGTCTCATTTTCTATGGCCTGCAGTGTAGAAATGGTGAAGGCGTCTGCTGCTGCGTCTCACTCAGAGACTAGCAAGTACAATTAGCTAGTCTAGTTCTTTACTTCTGTTTTGTTCCTCTGTGCAGAAGAGTCCTCAGAGCTTAGTAAGTACCGCCTTTCAGGCCCCATAATATGTCCTTGTGCCTCCTACATGCCTGGAATTTGTGTAGGTTGCACAGGGGCCAGAGAGGAGAGTCCTTTGTCACAGCAGGAGAAGGCTTTGTCCTGTCTCTTGCACTTAGCAATGCCTCATCAGAAGCTTTCGGCGTTTATGTAAGAAGTTTAATTTTTCTTGAACTTGAGCGTACTTAGTTTTATAATCTTGAAGAATAGGATGTTATTTCTTTTAGTCCTAGAAATGTCTTATGTTTTACACAGTTTAAGATATTGCTAGCTGTGTGTTGTGGAAGTGTATGCTCTTTGGGAAGGGCTTTGTAATATGGGGGAACTTCAAAGGAAAATGTCTCTTAACTATTTTCCATCTCTTATCATCTTACTTTAAATTATTTCTGTCTCACAAATCTTTGTACCAGGTGCTCTACTCTGAAAAGTGAAGAAGTTAAAAAATAATTTGCTTAGGGAGAAAGTGTGGCATTGTAAGAGTGAATGAGCTCGGGCAGAGTGGGGTGGGGCGCAGAGGGGAAGTAGATGAGGTGGTTTGTGCTGAACCGTGCACATTAGGGCTTCCAGCGTATCTTTTTTCCTTACGGCAGCCTTGAACCTGCTCAAGCTGTTTAGGAGAAAGCATATTTTAGGGTGATGGCTGGTAGGAAGGTGGGCTTTGTGTTTGTTCCTTTTCAAGTTTGATCCAGTTTAGGACTGGAAGGGATAGCAGTGGCAAATATCTCAGTCTTAATCAGTCATGCTCTGGATGTTAAAATAATGCAAGTCTGTAGGCTTTTACATGTATACAAGTTAATACTTCAGGACTAGGGCATGGTGTGCTTTATATACATTTATATACATTAATGTGTCTAACATTATTTTAATGATTAATGATTAGACACCCTCATGGTTATTTTTCTTGTGCTATGTATTTCCTTGTTTCTGTCCCGTAATAACTGACACTATAAAAAGAGGCTCTTGTCAAAGGGTCAAAGCTTCTGATTGTAACTGGCATATAAACTGACGTGCAAATCCGTGTGAGCTACTGTGGAAGGCTGAGAGGATAAGCGTCTGAGAGCTCCTCCGTGACGTCTGCACACGCATCCAGAGCTTAAAATTCTGATGTGACTTCTGTTTTAAAAAATAAATTATATTCGTGTGTGTGTGTGCGTGTGTGTGTGTGTGTGTGTGTGTGTGTGTGCCAGTCAGAGGACAGTTTGTAGGAGTTGATTCTCTCCTTTCCTGTGGCTCCTAGTGATCAAACTCAGGCTGTTGGGCTTGGTGACAAGTACTTTTACTGGCTAAGCCCTCTTGTTGACCCTAAATTCTTTGTGGTTTCTTATAGTAAAATGCATATAGTAGCCACAGACCGAAGATCGGGGCTGTTAAGATTACACAGTCATTTATTTTCAAGGAAGTACCAATTAACTTTCATGAATTTTTCATTATACTATTATTAAAAATTATCAGCTAGTCTGGGGATGTGGCTCCGTGGAAGAGTGGTTGCCTAGCATATACTTGGTCCTGGGTTTAACCTCTAGTACCACAAATAAAAATTATTAACTGGGTATGGTAGTTTATACCTATAATCCCAATATTTGGGAGGTTGATGCAGTAGGGCTAGAGAATGAATTGCAGGCTGGCTTTGGCTGTAGTGTGAGAGATCTTATCTCAAACCAACATACCAGCCCAACCCACCAACCAACCAAGGTTGGGGAGATTGCTATGAAGAGTGCCTAGCATGCAAGAAGCCCAGCACTGCGAGGGAAGGTCATGTTGGGTTAGCAGATGTGCTGCTGATTAGATGTGTTTAATATTTAGAGGCATTACTTTTCCTGGAACAGTACTTGATACCCTGGGTGCTGTGGATGTTTTATTGTGAAAGTGTTTGTGTGAGTCAGGTGAATTTAACTTTGCTTTACTGAAACATGATAAATTGTCCTTTGTGATGTGTTCCGTTTATTCATCTGCTATATAGCTGATGACTGTGAATATATGATAAGAACGAGAACTGCCATTAGGGACAGTCGATGGAGAGTGCAGACAGTGATGTGTGTGATACAGGAGGTGGAGTAGTACTTTCTAAGTTTTTATTCAATTTAATTTAGTAATAATAATAATAATAATAATAATTTTTAGAAGTTTTGTAAAAAAAAAAAAAAAGTTCTCAGATCCCCTGGAGCTGTAGATACTGGCGGTTACTGGTGAGCTCCCTGACATGGGTGCTGGTGACCAAACTCAGGTTTCTGGGAGAGCAGCAAGTGTTCTTCTCTGCTGAGCCATCTGTTTAACCACTTAACTCCTGTTTGGGTCAGGGTCTCACTCTATAGGCTGCTCTTTGACTCCCAGTCTTCCCACCTCAGCCTCACAGAGAATGCTGAGATTACAGTCGTGTGCCGCCATGCACAACGGTAGAGTTATCTTTAGAAATTTTGTACTTAAAACCATTTTGACACATATTTATTTTGCATGTTGTTGTGAGAGTATACACCACAGCATGATGTGGGGAGCAGAGGACAGCTGCCAGGAGTCAGGTGTCAAACTCGGGTCACCGGGCTTGGCTGTCCTCCTGGCTCAGCGATTGAGCTCTTAAATATGAAGATCAGAGCCTTGTGGAGAAGAACCTTTCTGACCAAGAGTTAGACTTCCATAATAATAACTCATGCGTCAGAGGCATGCGGAGCGAAAGACTTAAAAGTAAAAACGGGGTTAGCTCTAGTAGCACAGTGCCACATAGCACTTGACTAGCATGCACAAAGAACCACTCACTAAATGATGACACAGCTAAAACGTGTCTGTCTGTGGGCCTCGGCAAAACTGAATTCATGTAGGTCTTTATGTAGCTGTGAGCCTCTTCCATTCTGTGAATGCTTTTTGGCTATGAAGAGCAGACTCCAAGGTCAGAGCAGACTCCAAGGTCAGAGCAGACTCCAAGGTCAGAGCAGACTCCAAGGTCAGAGCAGACTCCAAGGTCAGAGCAGACTACAAGGTCAGCTACTTCTATTGGAGGAAGCTGCCTGTTAGGAACCCTTTGCTGTGTATAAACTCAGCAAGTACTGAATGAAAATGACTCCTCAAAGAAACTTCTGTTTGTTTTTTTCCAGTGATGCCATCTGCAATTTTGTCATTTGCAATGATTCTCCCCTTCGAGGTCAGCCTATTATCTTCAATCCTGACTTTTTTGTGGAGAAACTCCGACATGAGAAACCAGAGGTGTTCACCGAGTTGGTGGTCAGCAATATCACAAGACTTATTGATTTGCCTGGAACTGAGTTGGCTCAGCTGATGGGTGAAGTGGACCTTAAGTTGCCTGGTGGGGCTGGCCCAGCGGCAGGATTCTTCAGGTCTCTAATGTCTCTCAAGAGGAAGGGTAGGTCTCGTGCCTATGAAGGGGAGTGGGTCTTAGCTACTGATTGGCCTTTACTCTCGATTTGAAAAAAATTACGTGTTTTTAAATTTGGTATGTTTGTGCCTGTTTATATGTGTACCAGGTATATGCAAGTGCCCATGGAAACCAGAAGAGGGCATCAGATCCCTGGGAACTGGAGTCCAGGCAGGTGTGAGGTGCCATGCCAGGTCTTCTGCAAGAGTAACAAGTGCTTTTAGCTGTTGACCCTTCCTCCTGGTGTGGGGCTTTATCCTCTTAACATTTGCACCCTCACCGAGGACTTGTGATTATCCTAAAGCACTTTTGGTGTTTTGACTTCAATTTTTTTTTTTTTGAGACAAGGTTTCTCTGTATAGCCCGGGCTGTCCTGGAACTCACTCTGTAGACCAGGCTGGCCTCGAACTCAGAAATCCGCCTGCCTCTGCCTCCCAAGTGCTGGGATTAAAGGCATGCGCCATCACTGCCCGGCTGTTAGTAGAACTTTAATGGTGATGAAAATCATCTTAAGTTTGAGGGGAGCTTGGGCACATTGTGAAACCCTGTTGAAGAGACAAGGAGGAAGAAAAGGAGAAGGAGGAGCGGAGAGAAGGGAAGGGGAGGTGAAGAAAAGGGAACATAGGGAGAAGAACATAGAAAATACATTCAGTCCTGAGAGATGGTTGTGATTAGTTTAGGCTTATGAAGGGCATTTCAGTTTTCATGCCCTGTGAGTATTATACTAAAATAACGTTTTCCAGGTATCTTTCCTTCCTTCCTTCTGTTCCTTCCATCTTTTCTTTCCTTTCCTTATGAGTATCTCACTCTGTTGCCCAGGCTCAAGTGACTGTCTTACCCTCAGTCTTTATAATAGCTGGGACTACAGAATGAACGGCTTTGTTCAGTTAAAGTGACACTAGGCAGAGTAAAGTTGCCTAGCAGGAGAGGACAGTCAAGGATGCTGAGTAACTGTTGTTCTACTGAGGATGACTCAGGACTCTGTCCATGCTAGTAATCTTTCTACCACTGAGCTACATGCATACTTAACCCCTACCCCACCCCCCACCAAAAAGGACAAAAAGACAACAAGAGCTGGAGGTGGTACTGCACACCTTTAGTCCCAACACTCAGAAGGCAGAAGCAGAAAGAGCTTGGTGAGTTTGAGGCTAGCCTGGTCTACATAGTAAGCCCTAGTACAGCCAGGATTACATAAAAAGACATTGTCTCAAAAATCTAAATAAATAAATAAATAAATAAATAAATACTATAGTAGTTTGTAAACATTTTCATTCTATGGACTGCTTAATGTCAGTTCTTATATCACCCCCCAAAACAAGCTTTTTCTAGTAGTTGTAGCAGCACTTGTGTGTGTGTGTGTGTGTGTGTATGCGTGTGTGAGATGTGGTGTATATATATGTATATACACATACGTATTATGTATAGTGTATTCTTTGAGAATTTCATTTGTGTATACAATATTTTTTGACCCTGTTGCCTCTTTCCCTCTGACTCCTTTTGTGTATTCCCATCTGAGCATCATGTCCTTCCTTCCTTCCTTCCTTTCCTTCTTTCTTTCCCAAGTTTATTTTTAGATAGGATCTCATTATATAGTTCTGACTGGTCAGGAACATGCTATATAGACTAGGGTAGCTTTGAACTCCCCAGAGAGCCCCGTCTCTGTTGAGATTCAAGGTGTGTGCCCAGCTTTTTTTTTTTTTAAACAACAACAACAACAAAACCAACCCAGAGTTTATTATTTGTGATGTCTGCATGCCTGGGGCTGTGGGAGCATGCGTTCACATGTGGCTGCCCCTCCAGAGAAGGATTGCCTCACTTCCCCAGCAGTAGTGGATTGCCTCACTTCTACTGCAGTAGTCCACAGCTAGCTGTGGTGCCGTTGGACCCTCCCCCATCCTGCTGAGATGCTGACTGGCTCAGTCTTGTGCAGGCCTTGTGAAGGCAGCCACAGCTGCTGTGAGGCTGTAATGTGGCGTGCACGTCATCTCCAGGGGAAAGCACTTCCCAGCATTCCGCCACAATCCCCGGCTCCAATGTTTTTTGTCCAAGTTCCTTGAATCTTGTGGGGAGAAGGTTGATCCTGGTGTACTGTTTAGGGTGGCGTACTCACAATCAGCTATTCCAAACACTGTGACCATTGTGAGCTTCCACATTAACTGATGCTCACTTTAAAAAGAAGGCTTTCTGGCTGAGGTTGAAAGCAGCTCCCGTCTGTAGCATAAACATTTAGAAGACAGTTTGACAGCTTGATAATTTAGCAGAACAATAGTAGGTTGCTCCTGAGGGTCTGTGGGCCTCCCTAGCCATGGGCTTTTGATCAGGCTGACAGTGTTAGGTATAGATTCCATCCTAGGAAGTGTGGAGTACTATTTTATTAAATATAAGGAAATCATTAGGCAGGATGAAATATTTAAACATTAAAAGATCATATCCTCATACATATGCACCACCACATATATGTACCTGCACACATATACATGTGAGTAAATAAAATTTTAAAAATGTAAAAAAAAAGATTATATCCTATACCAACTCTAGTGATAATTGTCATGAGTTGACAATCATGTTCAGGTTCTTGTTTTTAAATTAAGTATCAATGTGCTTAAATAAGAAAAGTTTATGCCTCTAGGAATTCATGATCCGATGTCAAATATGGAGAGATTGACTGGACAGTTGCTCTGATTACATTTTTTGGGTATATTCCTAGTCTTTAGTTTTAAATTCCTTTTAGATCTTTGCTTACCAATTTTGTGAAGTGATAGGATGCTTGAATGATTTTAGAATTGTGGTGTTTGTGCTGGTGAGATGGCTCTCAAATAAAGGCATCTGATGCTAGCCGGATGACCCAGCACCCACATGGCAAAAGGAAAGAACCGCCTTCTATAAGTCATATCTAACCACCGTATGTGTGTCTTGCTCCTGCATAAATAAGTACACATAAAAAAATCATTGTATTGATGACCTTGTACTCTTGATGTAATATAGCCTTGACCTATGACATTTTTTTTTTTTCCAGAAAAAGGAGTAGTATTTGGATCTCCATTGACGGAGGAAGGCATTGCCCAGATATATCAACTGATTGAATATCTGCACAAAAGTAAGACTGCTCAAAGCTTCAGTGTTCTGTGTTTAATGAAAAATTGCCAGTTTTCCTTTGAGAGTTGACTAATGGATTAGTAGGTGCCAACTATCCATCATCAACAACAAAAAGAACTATTGATAATTTCAGGTGGTAGATTTTTTAAAAAAAATATATTTTCCTTTGAATTTCACATCAGTTATTGATTTGCCTTGTTTTCAAAGATGTAGATAGATTAGACAACGTCTATGAAATCATAATTCCCTTTTAACTCAGACAATTCTGGAACAATTCCTTGTTCCTAAAGAATTATGACATTTATTCAAGAAAGCATGATACTTTCATCTTCAGAACTCTGTGGCTAACATATCATTCTCATTTCGGTTCTTAGTAAGCCTTCAGGTTGTTGTTCTACGAGCTCAACTTGATACATGTGAAACACCAACCCACACATGTCTTTATGACTTACTGGATGTGAGGCACTGTGTAGGCGGAGTGACCACAGAGGTTGCAGACCACATCCTAAAAGGGTTTGAAGCAGGAGCGGGAGAGACGGCTCTGCTCTTCCAGAGGACCTGGGTTCAATTTCTAGCACCCACCTGGTGGCTCACAACTGTCTGTAATTCCAGTTCCAGGGTACCCAACACCCTCACACAGACATACATGCAGGCAAAACAATGTACATAAAATAAAAATAAATTATTTTAAGAAAACAGCTTTTGAGGCATCTGGATTTGTGAGTTTTTTTGGTTAGTTGTTGTTGGCCCAAGATGTATTAAAACCATAACAAGACATCAGGGATTTAAGATGAGGAGAATCCAGGTTTTCAGCTTGCTTGAGTGATGAGAATACCTGGCATCCTTCAGCCCAGCTGCTGTGTGGATATGATCTGCTGAGTACAGGGGTGTGTTTTCCAGTTTGTTGTCGGTCCCATTCATTCCTTTGCTATCACTTGCCTGGTTCCTTGGGCATGGAACTCAGACCCTGGAATTGGGGGGACACCCAAAGATGGAAACATGGAGAAGCTTCTTCCAGATCAAACCAAAACTGTGTGTCTTTCTACCTTTCTTCTTAAGAACTAGCTGGGTGGGAGCAGCTTATTGGGAATGACCCTAAGCTTTTGGGAGTCTCTTAGCTGCAGGGTGATGTTAGAATCATACAGCAATGCAGAGATGAAAAAAACAGTTTACAGGCACCACAAATTTCCATAGATGAATTCTGCTCCTTGAGAGTTTGTGAGGAACAAGGATAAGGTGACTTGAGATCTGGATTTTCTTTCTCCTTACTTTTCAAGCTTTTTTTTTTCCCCATTGATTATGTTAAATTCAGTATCTAGTGGTACCTCAGTCATCTTCAGATGCTCAGGGGCCCCAAAATGTTTCAAGCTTCCCTAGAAATATTGGCAAAGCCTCGTCTAGAAAGGGTTTTATGAAAGGTTTTTAAAGGGAAAGATGTTTTCTTCTGTGTCCATTAAACATGATTCTCTTTTGTTTCTTTTGGCCTGCCCGTGCTGAGCAGACTTGCGAGTAGAGGGCTTGTTTAGAGTACCAGGCAACAGTGTCCGACAGCAGCTTCTGAGGGATGCTCTCAATAATGGGACCGATATTGACTTGGATTCAGGAGAGTTTCACTCAAATGATGTTGCCACGCTGCTGAAGATGTTTCTAGGAGAGTTACCAGAGCCCCTGCTGACTCATAAACACTTTCATATACACCTCAAAATTGCTGGTGAGTATGAAGAAAGAGATTGAGATGTGGTTTTCAGTTTAGTGAAATGCTTTGTGATGTCCTGTTGCTTGTTACTCTCTAAGGTGCTCTGATGTTGGCTCAGGCATCAGGATCCTACTGGCCTCCTTATAGATCTTGGCAGTTAAGTTTGAGTTGATCAGTTGTCATTTTCTTCCTCTTCATTGTCCCCCTTTTTAAACACTTAAAAAAATTATATATTAAAAAAAATATATATTTATTTTGTATGTTCTGTGCACATGCCATAACATACATTTGGAGGTCAGAGGACAATTTGTAGGAGTCTGTTTTCTCTCTACCATGTTTGGTGCAGTATCTGACGTATCCATCGGGCTGCCTGATGACTCCCTGTTCTTGAGAATGTATGAACCGGAGGCACAGTTAGAGAGGAGCTGTTTGGAGTCATCCTGTGCATGGCTCCCTCTGACTTACCCTTTAGCCACAGCGTGAGTGGGGAAGAGCAGAGGGCTGACATCATCAGAGGTGCCCATGGGCTTGATTTTCATTCTTTTGGGTATTGCTGGAACTTAACTGTAACTAACATTTTGAGGCCCACATATTTTCCAAAGTGGTTACACTAGGGCTGGAGAGATGGCTCAGTGGTTCAGAGGACCCTGGTTCAGTTCCCAGCACCTACTTTGTGATTCACAACTGTCTGTAACTCCAGTTTCAGGGGATCTGATACCCTCAGTAGGCAGTGCACACACGTGTTGCACACATGCATGGAAGCAAAAGACCCATACAAACGTAAAAAAAGCCTCAAAGTGGTTACACCATTTAGTGCTCTCCCCAGTAGTAGAAGGCTTCGTGCTCTCCATGCCAGCATTTATATGACCAATGCTTTTATTCAGGTTATCCTAGTCGGTGTGACTGTTTATTGATAGTCGACATCCAGCATGCTCAACTTTACTGACCACTCTTAGGACGTCTCTTCTTTCCTTTCTGCTCTCTCTTCCTCTTTTCTTTAAATTGACAGGCCTCGCTAAATCACCTAGGCTGGCCTCAAACTCACAATCCTACCTCTGCCCCCTAAGTAGCTAGAACCACACATAGCTGTGTGTCACCCGGCCTGGCTTGGTATATTATTTTCTTTGAAGGGATGTCTATTTAGTTTGCTTTCTTTTCTTTTTTTTTTTTTTCTTTTTTTTTTTTTTTTTGAGGTAAGATGACTCAGGCTGCCTCTCCTCCTCCTTAATGCTAGGCACGCAAGCATGCATCACCACACCTAACCTTCTACTTAAAGCTTTCCCACATCTTAAAATTGGGTTGTCTTTAGTTGTTGAATTAGATTGACATTTCTTATGTTTTGCTTTTTCTTTCTTGTGATGCCAGGGCTCATGCTTCCCCTGCTAGCGTTCATAGTCACACAGAAAGTACCTTGCAAAGCCCATAAATTGCCTATTTTATTTTATTAATTTTTAATAGTGTTGGTATTTGAATCTAGGCCCTTCCTAAGGTATTAGCAGTTTTGAATTTGCTCTGATTTTTTTTTTTTTTATTCCTTCTCTTTCTTTGGTGAGAGTGAGGGGAAAATAATAACCAAAATAGCATTGACTTTTTGAGCTGGTTTATTCCTTCCTTTCCAATAATATTTTGTTTTGTTTTCAAGATCTGATGCAGTTTGATGATAAAGGAAATAAGACCAACATACCAGACAAAGAGCGGCAGATTGAGGCCCTGCAGCTGCTCTTCCTAATCCTCCCTCCAGCCAATCGGAACTTGCTAAAGTTACTGCTTGATCTCCTGTATCAAACGGCGAAGAAGCAAGACAAGAATAAGATGTCTGCCCATAACCTTGCTCTTATGTTTGCACCCCATGTCCTGTGGCCCAAAAATGTTAGTATTGAGGGAAGATCTTTAGGACTGGATTGTCTCAGGCTGGGCTCCTCCTGTGGGTGCACACTGGGGAGGTTATCAAGGATCCAAGGTCCAGCCTTCGTTGTATGAGGCTGGGAGTTTAGGAGTTATCAAAGTTGAGACCCTGGGTCCTGGAACCTCTCTGTAGGTCAGGCTCTAGTAATCCTGCATGGACACGTTCTGGACGCTGTCACTCTAGCTGCTAACGAAGCTAGACAAGGTACCTCCACTCTTAATAAGAATGCTCCTTGGTAAATTCAATTGATTTTTAATAATTGAATGATGAATGCAATTCATTTTTAAAGGTTTGGGATAGAGCAGTGTGATCCTGTGGGATAACCTGTGCTAACAGTTTTACTCCCATACAGTGAGTCTTCTTTCATAAAAGAGGCAAGAGAAACAAGAGAAGGGATCATTGCAGTTTGACTGCATTGTAGAAAGATGTCAGCTCTCATTAATGGACGGTTCTGTGGCTGAACTCCCCATTCTCCACAGAGCCCATACCCGTGGCTGCCTTTCTGCTGTCTGTGTTTTGAATCCTAGGCTTAGGTGTCTATGAGCAGAAGTAGGAAGTGAAGAAAGCTCAAGGATTTCCTGGTCATTTTAGGGACACATATCTGTGCTATTATGTCATTTTAAGTGGAAACCTGCTAGCCCAAGCCTTTCAGTGACGTGCACTGGTGACCACGTCCCAGCTCTTACTGCCCTTCGTTCTGTCTCTTTTCACTGACTAGGTCACTGCAAATGACCTTCAGGAGAATATCACAAAGTTAAACACGGGGATGGCTTTTATGATCAAACACTCTCAGAAACTTTTTAAGGTAGGTAAAGGATGATTTTTGGTTGGTAATAGGACCAGGAAGATGGGCAGGGCAGGACCCTGAAGGAGAGGCGCTGTGTGGGATTGTAGGTCAGAATGGATGGTGGGGAGGGCTAGACATAGAAATAGAACAAGTCTCTCTGTTTCTAATTTTTTAGGTTTTTTTATCTTTTATGACTGACTGACTTATTCGGCATAATGCCTTCAAATTTAGCCACAGAGTAACGTGTGGTAGCATTTCCTATCTGAAGGCTGCATAGCAGTTTTTTGTGTGTACACTCTACATACTGCTAATCCATTCATATGTGAATAAACGTTCAGACTGTGTCTATGGTTAAGCTGTTGTGATGCTGCTGTGAACATGGATGTGTGAACATTCCTCACAGCCCTGCCTTTGTCCTTTTTGGTATATTCCTAGATTGTATGGTAATACTCTGTAAAGGTTTCCGAGAAACTGCCACACTGTTGTCTGCAGTGTTTCCCATGTCTCCTAATAGCAGTGTGGGATCCATGTCCTTACCACTCCTGCTTCTGTCTGATGGTTATTCTCTCACTGTTGTCATCCTAATGGGGGCGGGATGGGTCTCACTGTGGTTCAGATGTCCGCAGAGATGAGTGATGTGGAACATGTTTTCATGTGTCTTAGTTACGTTCTGTTACTGTGACAGGACACAATGGACAAGGCAACTTTTTTATTTTGTTTTGTTTGTTTGTTTGTTCGAGACAGGGTCTCTCTAAATAGCTCTGGCTATTGTAAAACTCACTATGTAGACCAGGCTAGCCTTGAACCCACAGAGATCCACTTGCCTCTGCCTACAAAATACTGAGATTAAAAGTGTGCACTACCAAACATGGCTAACCAAGGCAATTTATAAAAGAACAATTTTAATTTAGGCTTACAGTTGTAGAAAGTTAGCGCCGTGATGCTACAGCAGAGGAATGGCAGCAGGGATAGTTGAGTGATCAGGAGACAGAGATACTGGGAACCGTCTGTATTTTTATTTTGGCTCGTGAGTGCCTCATGCTACCTTTATTTTTAAAACAGTAGCAGCTACAGCAGTGCCTTCCTACAGTTTCCTGTCAGATCTGTAGAGGTGTCTATTTGGTCAAATATGATATTTTTGGAAAGTGTTTGGCTTTTCAGACTAATCTACCCATTACATAATGTTATGATTCCCTTTCTGTGGCCTGAAAGACTCCACTGAGCCCTGGTTCCCTTTTCTGTCCTGCCCAGGCTCCTGCTTATATTCGGGAATGCGCCAGATTGTACTATTTGGGCTCCAGAACTCACATGTCGAAGGTAAGAACAGAAAACTGGTCTGTAAACAAGAGAAGAATTCAGACTAGTGAAAACAAAGTATAACATTATCCTTAAGCCAGAGCTTTTAATGTTACAGCCCAGATTTATCTAGTCCTGTGTTTTAGCAGGAACAAGGACTGAGAAGGGAGTTGTTGAAATAAGAATGCCCTGTGTAGCATATGCTCACTGGCTCTCAGAGATCCTCACTGGTGGATGATGTCCTCTACATATGTGTCATGCACAGACCATATGTTAAAGTTTTTCATAAAACCTGTATGTATTTTATTAGCCCATGATCTAAGCAACATTTAAACATCATTCATAATAGTAACAAAAGTTCAGTCTTATGTAATTTCTCTTTTTTTAAAAATTTTAATTTAATTAAAATAATTATTTTATGTGTATGTGTATGTGACTGAGTGTTTTAAGTTTACCACTTGTGTGCAGTGGCCTGTGGAAGTCAGAAGGTGGTGTTGGATCCTCTAGAACCGGAGTTGAAGTAGCTATATGAATCACCATATGTGCCCGGGGCTGCACAAAGAAACCCTGTCTCAAACCCCATCCCCAAAATGTTTATTTTTACTTAAGTGTATATATGTGAGTATGGGCGCGTGCATGTGAGTACAGGTACCAACAGAGCTATCCACCCATATCCAGTCCTAGATAATAATTCTTATTCAAGTTTGTTGGCGTGATTAAACTGTCAAATTGTTAAGAGATTTGAGCCCATGGGCAGGAGAGGTGGCTCAGTTGTTAAGAGCTTACTTTACTGGATAGCAACAAGTATTACTTGAAATTAAAGAGTGTTTTGAAAATGGAACTCAAACAGCTACAATTGTCTATGGCAATATTCTTTGGTGTTTTGAGACAGGTATCACTATGTAGCTCTGACTGTCCTGGGACTAGCTCTGTAAACCAAGCTCTCCCTAGACACACAGGGATCCGGCAGCTCTGCTTCTGGAGTGCTGGGTTTAAAGGTGTGCATCACCATTACCTGGCTTGGCAATATTCTAACTGCATGTTGATTTTCTGAGCAGATCATGGAAGTGGATCATTCAGAACCTTCTATTAATAGATTTTTGTTCATCTGATAATTGTATTTGAATTTTCATTGTTCCCAGATGTAGTAGTATGTCATATTTCCACTCTTCCTTCTTTTGATCAGAGTGATTGTGAGAACCCAAAACAAAATCAGAAGCATGTATTAATTGACTTTTTATACACTTTCCTTTAGGATGATCTTGATCTGACAACCTCATGTCATGCCATGTCCTTCCAGCTGGCAAGATCTCAGAAACAGAGCAGAGTAGATTCTTATTCCCAGCAGGAGGAGACCCAGCAACACACAGAAGAGGCACTGAGAGAGCTCTTCCAACATGTTCATAACTTGCCAGACTCAGCCAAGAAGAAACAACTTATCAGACAGGTGCTGGATGCAGGGATGTAGGTGGGCTCTAGGAGTCACTGGAGAGCACCACTCAGAATCACATTTAAGTTTCATTGTCTTTTGGAACAAGCTTTGGCTGGTCTATGGAATTGCAGTATATTCCTGTCCTGGAGAGAAGTGGAGGAGTGCTTAGCTCTCTGCGGTTAACTCTGCTTAGAACATCTGTAACTCTAGTCACCTACAAAATCTCTCCAAGGTTTGTTTGGAGAGAACCAGCAGATCCAATGTATTATTCCAGAACTTAAGTGCTGCATATTTTCCAGGGATATAGTTTCTGAACTTCAGTTTCCAGCTTTGTGACACAGTATAGTAACATGCATACGTCATGCTTGTATAGGAGGAGAGGATGTGCAAAGTGGCTGGCAGGACAGAAGAGGCAGCTCTTCCTAATGGAGTTGTTTGTGGTTAGAAAACAACCTAAAGCAGGGTCCGAGTGTATTGAACAGGAATTCTGGTGTCTGGGATTGCTTGTTTTGGGGTTTTGGAGGTAAGATTAGATCTTTCATTTGCCATTTTGAGGACTCAGTGTGATTTGAGTGAGTTCTTACTAGTTGGGAGTCCCTCAGGAGATTTGTCTCAGTCCCTTTGAATTGTAGCTGTACAGGCAAGGCTGGGGCATCACTCGGTTCTCCCTTCCTGTGCAGACTCATGGGTTATTGTGCTTGGCACACAGGTGTGGAAGTTTCTATCCCCAACTAAGTGGCCCTGTGGGAGGTCTGACATTAAGGCATCAGCATGAGCAGGGCAAACAGTGTGCCTCATGACCAGGAGCCATAGTACCCCTTGGAGGGCATGTCCCCAGTGAACCAGGGCCTCCAATAGGCCCTTCCATCTCTCAGTAGTGCCATAGGATAGACACCCGCCAACCACTACCCCTGGCTTTGGAGGACATTGTAGATTGAGCTGTAGCAGACAGCTCTTCATTTCTTATTCAGTTTGTACCTTCTTTGGGAAAGATTGCCTTCATTTTGGGGGAGGGTGTGTCTCTAGTATAAGACAAGATAAAAAAAAGTGTCAGACACTGCTGGGAACTGAGCTGCTTTCAACAATGGACAAAGTCCCTACAAGTATTTTGTCATGATCATAGAGATGGTTTAGGAGTGGCTGGAGTCAAGTGTGTGTCAGACATCTGTAATCCCAGCAGTAGACAGGCAGAGACAGGCAGAGAGCTCTGTGAGTTCAGTTAGCCTGCTCCACAGTGAGTTCCAGGACAGTGCCTGCCTGCCCCCCCAGCCTCCCTCCCCACCCCCTGTGCCTGCCCTCCAGTTTTTTGTAAACTGGAGATGTCTTTATATACAAAGAGCTGACAGCATTCAAAGTTTGCATTCAGTTCCTTTCCCTTCCTAGCAGTGCTGTGAGCTCTAGTTAGCTTCAGTGCCTTAGGAGCCTCTGGCTCAGTAGCTCGGGAAGTTGGCTCAGTTGGTAGAGGGCTTGTCCTGCATTCATGCACCCTAGGCTGGATTCCTGACACCTCATAAACTGGGTTTGGCCATCTAGGTTTATAATGTCAGGACTTGGAAGATGGAGGCAGGAAGATTAGGAATTAAAGGTCATCCTTGGCCGTATAGAGAGTTGAGGCCAGCCTGTGCTACATGAGACTCTGTCTTAAAATAAATCCTGGCATATAGTTTGTTAAACTGAGGACTATCGTGGTTTATGCTAGTAACTCTCTGCTTCCAAGGTACTTGATGCAAAAATAATTCTGGTTTACTAGCAGAGCTTAGACAAGTCCATAACCACTCTGGAATCTTGGTTTCCTATCTGTAAAGCAAGAATAGGGATCCCTTAATCAGAGAATTTGAGTCTCAGGACTTCTCTGAGTAATTGAGTACTTTTTTTTTTTCCGAGACAGGGTTTCTGTGTGAAGCCCTGGCTGTCCTGGAACTCACTCTGTAGACCAGGCTGGCCTCGAACTCAGAAATCCGCCTGCCTCTGCCTCCCAAGTGCTGGGATTAAAGGCGTGCGCCACCAATGCCCGGCTTTGATGGCACAGTATTAATACAATGTTCTCTGTATTTTTTTGTAGTTCCATAAGCAGTCTTTGACTCAAACGCCAGGGAGAGAACCTTCTACTCCCAGGGTCCAGAAGAGAGCCCGCTCACGCTCCTTCAGTGGGCTTATCAAGGTAAGCCTGTGCTCCTGCTGCCCACAGCAGTTCTCAGGAAATTTATATCTTATTTTCTTGTGTATAAACAACTTAATTCTTTTCTTTGGAGTCCTAGAAAGAGTTAATTGATAAGGGGACAGAGTTTGGAAAAGGCCTTCATTTCTTTTTTTTTTTTTTCTTTTTTAATTAAAGATTTATTTTATATATATTAGTACACCATTGCTGTCTTCAGACACACCAGAAGAGGGCATCAGATCCCATTACAGATGGTTGTGAGCAGCCATCTGTTGTGAGCGTGAAAGCAGCACTGGCCTTCTCTCCCCCCCGTGTCTGAGGACAGGAGTTTCTCTTGCTTCCTGCTTTACTGCACAGGCTACTCTCTGAGGTTTGCTACATCTGTGGAGAAATGAGCACGCTGAGGACGGGGGTGTTGTTGGACATTGGACTTTCTAATGCCCCAGTGGATTTTGGTATCTCTTATTTTTGGTGAATTTAATATTTTCACTGTTGTTTCTTTCCATGTTTTAAAATGTCTAGAAATCTTGTTTTTAGAACAAATTGAAAGTACATTTTTGTGTTGTTGCTGCTGTCACTAAGTGTGCAGACTGCTGAACATTAGTGCAGTTAGTGAGAGCTACCATCAGGTGGCAGTAGGTCATAAGATTCACAGTTCTTTCTTTTTATTCTCTCAAACATTACACGCCTACCTCCATTTTCCCTCCGTCTATCCTCCCAGTCTCTTCCCCCCACTTCCCACCTCCCCTCTTCCCCAGATACATTCCTTCTCCTTTTCCCTTCAGGACAGGGCAGGTCTCAGGACAGAGCAGGTCTCAAGGATATCCATTGAACATGGCATAGCATGTTAAAATAAGACCTGGCACCTCCCTCATATCAAGGCTGGACGAGGCAACCCCGTAGCAGGAAAAGGGTCCCACACACAGGGGGAAGAGTCAGAGGATCCACCCATTCCTACTATTGGGAGTCCTGCAAGAACACCAAGCTACACAACCACAGAGTAGACATGGAAGACCAAGCTCAGACCCATATATCGTCTGTTTGTTGCTTCAGTTTTCATGAGCCCCTATGAGCCTTGCTTAGTTGATTCTGTGGCCTGTATTCTCAACCCCTCAGATCCTACAATCTTCCTTCTTTTATGTGGGGTTCCCTGACTCTACCTAATGTTTCACTGTGAGTCTTTGCATCTGTTTCTATCAGTTGCTGGATGAAGCCTCTCTGATGTCAATTAGGGTAGGCCCCAATCTGTGAGTATAGCAGAATATTGTTAGGAATCATTTCACTGCTTTTTTCTTTTTTTCTTTCTTTCTTTCTTTTTTTCTTTCTTTCTTTCTTTTTTTTTTTTTGGTGCTATCCTGGGTTTCTGGGCTGCCCTGCTTCTGGATCCTGGCCAGCCAGGCAGTGTCAGGCATGGGCTCCCGCTTGTAGCATGGGCCTCAAGTTTATTTCAATGCTTAAACTACGGCAAGCTAATCCAGAGGGGTTAACTCTATTCTGAGTTCTATTTTTCTTTTAGAAATTGTTTTAATGCCGGGCAGTAGTGGCACATGCCTTTAATCCTAGCACTTGGGAGGCAGAGGCAGGAGGATTTCTGAGTTTGAGGGCCAGCCTGGTCTACAGTGTGAGTTCCAGGACAGCCAGGACTACACAGAGAAACCCTGTCTCAAAAAACCAAAAAAAAAAAAGAAAAAAAAAGAAAGAAAGGAAGAAAGAAAGAAAGAAAGAAAGAAAGAAGAGAAATTGTTTTAACATTATTAAAATATGTAACTCTACAAATATTAAGGATCTTTTTGACTAAAAATTTAGTTATTTTGCATAACTTTTAATTTTCTCCCTTTTATGCTGATATCATTAGCAGTTGCAACTTCATTTAGCTCTAATTTTGATCTATTTGTTTGCTTGTTAGAGCCACAGTTTCTCTGTGTAGCCTTGGCTATCCTAGAAGTTGCTCTGTAGACCAGGCTGGCCTTGAACTCACAGAGATCTGCCTGCTTCTGCCTCCCAGAGTGCTGGGATTAAAGGCATTGCACCAGCACCGCCTGGCAATTTTGATCCTTTTTCTACTTTCTAGAGGTCTGGAATCCAGTCTTTATCTTCACGGATGGCTAGTGGCCTTTGGGACATGGTGCTTGCAGAAGTGTTTGGTTTGCTATCCACAATGGAATAAACAAGTACCTTGTGGAGCAGGAGAGAATATTTTTAAGTCATGTGTCTGGTTAGGAGACAATGTCTGGAATATAGAAGGAATTTATGTGGCTCAGTAGTGCTCAAAACCCAAGCTCATTATAAAACAGGAAGTAACAGTTCTCTCAAGACATATGACCAAGAAAAAGACAGAGAGGTGTTCATCATTACTCATCATCAGGAACCCACAGCACATGCCACCTCACTCCCTCTAGGTGACTCCATCCACAAACCAGAAAACCATCCACACTGCTGCTGGGAATATAAGATGGCAGAGCTGTTGGGGAAACTGTATGACCATCTCTCAGAAAATCAGCAGTAGACTTCCTTTATGTCCCACCAGTTTCCAGTCTGTGTATATGCCAATGAATTGAAAGCAGGGTCTCACGGTGAAAGTAAAAGTATTGGCTCAGGACCCCAAGGCCAAGTTCTCAGCATAAAGGAGATTTATTTACCCCAGAGGGACTGAAGACAGGGAAAAAGAGACACAGACAGGAGATAGAGGATGAAGGAGAAGGGGACGGGAACAGGGAAGGGGGAAGGATATTTTGTCTTGGGGGACAAAGGACTACTGCCTCTAGATAGAGAGGAGACGGACATGGCACATAGGAAGACGGTGGTTCATAGAGGGAAAATGGGAAACCCTGTGTTAGGACGAGGTGTTTAACTTTAATTGGGCATGTTAATTAGGTGAGACAGAGGGGATTTTGATTGTTGTATTTCAATACCTTGATAGCTGAACCTTGGTAGTCAACCTCAAGGGGAGGAACTGACCAAATAACGGAACAGACCTTGGTGACTAGCTTTAGGAATGTGATCTAATGGTTTTAATAAGGCAAAGGGAGTGAAAGAGAAGGGGAAGGCCTGCCAGAGCCATGCTCGCCTGTCAGGTAGCCTAGAGTCCCCTCACAGCGAGTTATCTGTATAGTTCATGGAAGCATTATTTACAGCGAGCAGCCTAAAGGTTGAAGGAATCTAGTTGTCCGTTGAAGGACTGCATACGGGAAGTGTAGAGAGAGTGGAGGATTTTCCATCCTTAAAAAGGAAGGAAAGTCTAACATACTCCTTGCCACAGCGGGCCCTGAAGAACATGCTAAATTAAATAAAAGCCAGACACAAAGGTAAATGTTGTGCGGTTCTGCTCATTTGAGGAACTAAAGTGGTTAAAGTCACTAGTGATCATCAGTGGCCAGAAGTCTGGAAGGATGCAGAGTTCTCTCTTGTTTAGGAAGAACAATGGATGGGTGAGCCTCCTCAGTTTGATGACACTGGGACTTTAGTAGCCACTGAAGTATACACTGATGTGGATAAGGTGCTAAGCATGTTTATAATTGCTTTTTTTTTTTTTTTGAGACAGGATCTCTGTTTCTTTTTAATTGTTCTTGGATGCATGTGGTTTTCTGTTGTGCTTTGAGGTAGATTGGCAGTTAGTGCTTGAAATGTAGGTGTTGCTGTTTGTTTGGCTATTACTCAACTCTTCACTAAGGGAGTACTTAGAACTTCAGAAGTTATGAGGATAAAACATTTTAGAACATTTTTTTTTTATGTCACTATCAACTGAACCCAGGGCCTCATAAATATGAGCAGGCACTCTGCCGTCGAGCCATATCCCAAGCCCAGAGCAACAGCTCTAAACACAGAAGCTGTCAGAGCAAGCTTTATGAAGCATAGGGGCAAGACAGTTTCATTATAAATGAGATATTTGCACGGATAGAGGATGTAGGCCCTTCACTCAGTAGCTCTGCAGTGAAGTAGTTCAGTACTGTTTTTATTTGTCAGTGGTCCTGGGGATTGAACCCAGGGCTTTGTGCATGCCAGGTCTAACTCAGAATGCCCTTTTGAAAATTTCCTGGAAGCTTTGTAGCTAGTCTCCAGGATCCTGACATTCCCAGTTCAGCATTCTCAAGTGATTCCTGCCTTCTGAACGGGGGATATACAGACCTTATTTTTCTAGCATTTGTGTGTGTGTGTGTGTGTGTGTGTGTGTGTGTGTGTGTGTGTGTGTATTTTAGCTATTTGGCTTCTTTTTTAAAAATCTATTTGATTTTTAGGACTTTTAAAAATTAAAAACTTTTGGGAGGTAAAGGCATGGCTCAGAAGTTCTTATAGAGAGGACCAGAGTTTAGTTCCCAGCACCCATATTTGACATCTTACAATGGCCTATAACTTCAGTTCAGGGGATCTGATGCTGCTGCCCTCTGTAGGCACCTATACTCATATTCTGCCCCCCCCCCACACAAACACTAAATAAAAACAAATCTTAAAAAAGTAGAAACCTTTAGAGATTTGTTTTTCTCCAGTTTTACAATGGTGTGTCTGACAGTGGGTCCTGCATTGACCTCTTGTTTAGGAAGATGGTTTTCCTCTAGAACTTGTCGCATGTCCTGTAAATACCTGGCCCTGCTGTTGTTAGTTATAATGCAGAGATTAATGCTTTAGGTCTTTAGTTCAGCTTAATTTTTTTGGTGTTTTATTTTTGACGGTGTTCTTGTTTCAGAATTCATATTTATTCTGCAGGGAAAGGAGGCTTCTCTGAGATGGAGCCGTTACTGTCCTCTGCTCCGGCAGCTCACACTGTCATCTGGCTCTTCAGAAGACCTTGTGTTCATGCTCTGTGTGTCGGTGGTCATGTGACCGTCCTGAGAAGGCCTGGGGCCTTTTGTAGCTGTATTAGGAACTCTTAGTTTCTGCACATTTATTAGCCCTGTGTGAGGAAGGACAGAGAAACAGAATCCTAGAGGAGACCCAGTCTGTGGTTCCCTTAGTGAGGAGGAGAAGGACCCTTAACAGCTGGCAGAGAAACCACACCCACCCATTCTTCCAAAAAAGCCCAACCCTCAAGAGTGATGGGGATCCTTCCTGCTCACAGATGTACTGTTATTATTAGCTAATATTAGGTAGTTTAAATCACCCAGATGAACAGTCATTCTTGGTGTTTGCTATATGCCTTCTCCTCCCTTACATGACATGGCTTCAGTCTGTGCAGAAGTTATCAGGATGCTGCTGAGTTTTTTTTGTTTGCTTGTTTGTTTTTGTCTTTTTTAACTGAAGAAGTCGTAGTTTTGAAAGCCAGACACCTACAAAATAATAGATGCTCTTAAAAAAATATTTTCTGTTTCTAAATCAGCGCAAAGTCCTGGGCAGTCAGATGACTTCAGAAAAGAAAAACAGTTCTCCTGCTCCAGAGTCTGTGGCCATGGGGGAACTGAAGAAAGCCAGCAAAGAAAATACAAACTTGGTAAGAGCGTTTGTCTGTCTGTCTGTCTCTGCAAGGAGGCTGTAGACTGGCACGTGCTCTGCCGTGACTCTGGGTCAGTCAGCAGTGCTCACAGCCCTTTCTGTAGGTTCACACAGACTATTCGGTGTGTTCTGAGTTCAGGAAAGATGAAGCGTGTGGGCTAGTTTGCTTCTGTTGCTGTGATGAACACTGGGCACAACTCAGGAAGGAAAGGGTTTGTTTCCTTACAGCTTACAGTTCATTATGGAGGGGACTCAGTGTGGGCTTAGCCAGGAGCCGGAGCGGAGGCCTGGAGAGCACTGCTTACTGACGTGCTCCACAACTCTCTGAGCTTGGGGTTTGTTTGTTTGTTTTTTGTTTTGTAGAACCTAAGACTGTCTGCCCAGAGGCCCCCTTACAGTGCCTGTGTCCTCCCGCATCAATCATTAATCAGGAATATGGCCTACATGCTTGCCCGCAGGCCAGGCTGATGGAGACATTATCTCGATTGAGGGTCCCTCTCCCCAGATGACTCTAACCAGCATAGCTAGTTACAAGTACAGAGGAGCAATACAGCCCGATAGCTGTCGACAAATGCTGCACAAATGTCATAGGGCAGGTTAGCATTTAAGCCAGCCCTCCCTGGCTCTGCGTTACCTGTGGGCAGTCCCTCAAAGCATGCTAGGCTACTACATTAAGCTACCCATAGCCAGTTACCATGGAGGCATAACCTCTGTCAGTAAAGGAACACTGATGTCTGACCATCTAAGCTACCATACAGCTTTCTTGTTGCAGGTCTTCTCTGGCTACCCAGCTGTCACAGTGACACCAATGAGACTGAAATGGTCTGAGGTGAAGAGAGAGGGGAGAAAAGGTACTCACTGGAGCCGCCTCCACCCTTCCTGCCCGGGCTTCTAGCCTGTGTCTTCTTGGTCAGCAGTTTTCCCATTTGTGTTGTCCAAGGTGGTATACTTGTAGTCATGGAGAGTTGGATGCTTATTAGTCTACTTAGCACGGCCTTCAGGTGCCGAGGGGCAGAGTTCCAGACAGACTCACTGACTCCTGTTGTGGACAGACAGAACCCACCACACATCAATTGTCCTAAGAACAATGTTCAACAAGACAGCACAGGTACAAATGTGAGCCTGAGAATGTCCATGCAGAGAAGACACTCAGGAAAGTCATATTTCTCGTCTCTGCAGGCTTGAGTAGTCGTGGAAGACGCTGGGAAGCACGTCTGCATGGCTTTGAAGCTATTTAGTTCAGAGGATTGTTCTTATGGGTTGTTCTGAGCTTTGCTGTTAAAAAGCTGCTGTGAGCAGCCATGGGTCTGCACAGCTGAGATCCCAGCACTCAGGAGGGACGGCAGGAGGGCTTCTGGAAGTTCAGTTGCTACTCCATGTGTCAGCAGTGGAAAGAGCTCATGTAGACATGTAGCTCAGTGGTAGAGCACACTTGTGTGGCCTTGGGTCCCATCCCTGGGACAGCAAGGTCACTGTGATGAATCTTTCTTCTCTTCTAGAAAATTAGGGCCGGGCTGTGGTGGCGCACGCCTTTAATCCCAGCACTTGGGAGGCAGAGGCAGGCGGATTTCTGAGTTCGAGGCCAGCCTGGTCTACAAAGTGAGTTCCAGGACAGCCAGGACTACACAGAGAGACCCTGTCTCGAAAAAAAAAAAAAAAAAAAAAAAAAAAAAAAAAAAGAAAATTAGGCTATTGTGTGGTTTCTTACTTTTTATTTTGATGAATGACCGGCTCTCTTCTCTTCCTGCTTTCTTTTGCACAGAATTGTGCTACCGAAGCAAACTCAGTATTTGAGTTATTCCTATCCAAATATTTCTTTTTAAATGTTTTTTAAAAAACACTTTCTAAAATTTCTTTCTTTTTTTTTTTTTTTTTTGGTTTTTCGAGACAGGGTTTTTCTGTGTAGTCCTCGGTGTCCTGGAACTCACTCTCACTCTGTAGACCAGGCTGGCCTCGAACTCAGAAATCTGCCTGCCTTTGCCTCTCGAGTGCTGGGATTAAAGGAGTGCACCACCATCGCCTGGCTTAAAATTTCTTTTTAAATGCAAAGTATGAGGTTTTTTTTTTTTTTTTTAAGAATATGCTGTTTTGTATTGTTAGACTTTTGTTACATTCATATTTAAAGATGAGCAGAAAGTCATGTCTTTCCATTTTGTCAACTCTGCTTGGAAAGAAAGAAGCAAGTTTCTTCAGGAGAGTAGAGGCCTGCTGCTGATGTGACACCTTTTGGTGGATAAGGAATGGCATCTTCTCTGTGTCAGAACACCCCTCCTCCACCTTTCCTGTCCTCAGGACGTGCCACTCTTGTCTTCTTCAGTCTTTCCTGTTTTACTCTGGGTTTGTGTCTGCCAGCCCGTCCCTCCGTCTCTCCCTTCTGTTTACTTTTATTTTTGTGGTGATGGGGATTGACTCAGCGCTTCACAAAGGCTCTATGACTGAGCTACACTCTGAGGCAGCCCCCTTCTTTCTTAAAATAATTTGTTTTCTGTCTTCCTTCCTGTCTTCTTTTTGAGACATGAATTCTCTCAGGTTTTAGGTTGGCATTAAGCTTGAAATTGTCTCCTGCCTCGTGAGTACCTGGGATTTTAGGCATTATGTAGGCTTGCCTTATCTGGCTTGTTTCTGGCTAATTGAGTTTAAGTTCACTACTCTTCTCTCTTGTATCTCACCCTCTCAGCACCTTGTTCTGCCTCCTCAGCTCACTCCCAAATGGCATCTTGAGCTCTGATCTCTCTAGCCTCCAGGCATGCAGCTCAGAGCCTGGCTACCTCTCTTACAGGACGGTGGATAGAATCCTGGCTATTCTCAACACTGATGTTGAAAATACCCTCAGGAGAGGGTAGTGCAGTGTCCTGTCACCATCAATAGCATGGTAGAGACATATGCTCAGCACAGGGCTCCTTAGAAGTCTGTGTGGAGCTGTCCTGTGCGGTATATAATGTCTAGCAGCTTTGACCCAGCGGATGCCACTAGCACTCTTCCCTCAATTGTGACAACTGAGAGTTCCTCCAGATGTACCAGTGTCCCTTGAGGATACCGGGGCAAAATCACCTGAGATGAGAACACATGATGGAGCACCTCCTCATCAAGGGGCGTTATCTTCAGATCTTCCTAATTCTTTAAAGTCCGGCTGAAGCCCTGCTCTCTGAAGCCTTGTCTGGCTAACACAGCCAGACAGAATAAGTTTCTGTTGAACTCTTGTCAACACCACTGAGGTCTGGACCTTGACTGTGATCTATGTTGTTTACTTCATCTGTGTTGTTGTTTCCCTGCGTCTGGTTCTAGGAGGCAAAGCAAGACGCCCTGGTTAGGGACCAATCATACCAATGTTGCAGTACTTGCCTAGCATATGGAGCGCCCTGGGTTCAGTCCCTAGTCCCGCCAACACACACTTGCACACCCACCACCCACCTACAACCCTAGTCTCTCCAACACACACTTGCACACCCACCACCCACCTACAACCCTAGTCCCTCCAACACACACTTGCGCACTCACCCACCTACAACCCTTTTGCTTTCTCTTTGTCTCAGTAGTGTCAGCGGCTTGGTTTTAGTAGAGGGTAGTGCTGCTAACAGCACGAGCTCCATCCTCCCTTAGACTTGGGTCAGTTCTCCATTTTAGTGTATAGTAGCTGCTGGGCTGGTGTGGCATCTGTGGGCTGCAGATTCCAAATCTGTGACATGACAGAGTACTACCTCCCATGTAGGATACATGAGAAAATGTACACAGGGACCTGGGGCAACAAAGTGGAGACTGTTACGGTCAGTAAGAAGAGTTAACAGAGTGGTGTAGACGGTGTTTATTTGGTAGAGGGTCACACTCTCAAATTATTTAATTGTAAATTTGGAGAGAATACTAAGTGTAGATTCTGTAGTTTTTAGGTGGGTATTTAAAAAAAAAAGAATGTTTTAAAGGATGTCTAATTGTCTTGTTTCTCTTTTAACCTAGGATTCTTTTGAAGGCTCTGCATACTTCTCCTGTTCTTCACAGTGAAGTTTCTCTTCGGTGGGACAAGTATGATTTCTGTTTTCAGTGAAGTTTGGACTTGCAGCCTGCTTGCTGCATTTTGACTTGTGAAAGCCAACTCAAACCCTGACCCGACTGATACCTCTAACCCACTCACTGGATGTCGCTGAAGCTGTGCCTCTGAGCGAGTGCTACACTCTTGTTTGTTCTTAATGTCAGGAAGCCACTGCCGGCCTGGCCCAGCTTGCACAGTGCAGCAGGCAGGCAGGGTCAGCTACTCTTACTCAATGTGCTCAGGTCGGTTCTGTTTGTTCAAATAGAAAATTTTGTGTTTAATTGCTAGTAATATTTTTTAAAAGTACTGTAGGGCTTAGTGGATTGTTATTATTCTTAACTGGTATTTGAGGCTTTCCTCTGTGTTGTTAGTATTGAGTATTGAGTATTGCTTGTCTATTTACTTGTTTTAAAAGCCATTATTTTGATGAATAATTAAGCGAATTACAAGTTAAATGCCTTTGACCCCTTTTCATTTTGAGCTTGAGAAATCTCTTTATCTTTGTGTTCAAAGAATTTACAGCTTTCCTAGACAAACTATTATTCTTGTGTCTAATATAGAGGATTTGACCTGCCAATGAGAAAGAGTTCAGTGTATTTAACAGAGCTTAGTTACTAAGCTGCACCCCATCCCCTGTCTTCCTCTTATGATGTGAGATGGCTGTGTGGTTGTTACCTTGGTGATGTGGGATGGTTGTTTGATTGTTACCTTGGTGATGTGGGAATAGCTGTATGGTTGTTACCTTGGTTCCTTCATTATCATCCTCTCACCTAGAACCTGGCTGGTGGCACTGCAACACTCTGTGCTTGGTTACTGTCACTTGGGAAATGTTGTGATGTGCTTCATAGAGCTTGCTGCAGTGTGCATATGGTGGAAACTGAAGTTGGCCCAGGAGGGGGTGGTTGGCTTCGGTAGGATCCTGTCACATGTTCCTAGGGATCAAATATGCTGCTCACCTGTCTCTTGAGAGCAGCTTGGAATCAGGAAAGGCATGCGTGACAGTCTCTGCAGGGTCCATAAGATTTAATAAAAGAGTTTCCACAGGGAGCACTTGTGTGTCCCCTTGGTCTAGAACAATTGCTTCCTGCCCGTCTCCTTGTCCGGATGGGTACAGGAAGTGATGAAGTATGTTGAGCCACTGTCTAGTGAGCCGCAGGTGGCAGTTGAAGATGTTGAGGTGTGGGCTTGGCTCTGTGGAAATGTGCAACCATGCTCACCCTCCTATGGAGAACCAGATACCCAGCAAAATACGGTTCCAGGCTGATGGTAGACAGGTGAACAGTGTTATTGTTAAGATGAAGGCTGATGTTGTCTGTCTGTCGGCCCTCTCTTCATACTACACTGTTTTGTTGCCCTCACAGCAATGCTGAAGGAGAATGTGATATTTGCCCTTCTAGCTGGATAGTTTGGGAGCATGGAGGTGTGTAATCTATAATGACTTTTAAGTTCCTTTCTCTAAAGCAATTGTAAGTCATCCTTAAGGATCTTTATAGCAAATTCGTTTGTCTAGGTTTCTGACTCTTTCTGGTGGTGGTGTTACTAAGAAAAAGGTTTTTTTTTTCTTTTTAAAATAAATTTCTTGTGCCAGGTATATAGTGAGGTCAAACAGAAATCCCTTTTGTAGTAGCAAATCAGAGATGCTCTCCTCAGCATGGAGCTTGCTTTAAGTGTTCCACCATGCTGTAATGTAGCACTGTACAGAGCTAGCCAAGCAGTGCCTTGATGCATCCAGGAGCTATATACTCTGTGAGTGAGAGAGAAAGAGCGAGTGGGACCGAGGAGGCGAGTGTGGGTGAATGGAAGCAATGCCCGTGGGTGGTCTGGGCGAGGGTGGTGAGAGAGGAGTGCCCCGTGCACATGCTCTCGGTAGCTGGCCTCTTGGGTAGTTAGTTACCACCTGTATTTGGGAATGTGTATTTTATTTATTTATTGGATAGTCATTACTTGCTTTAAGGGTATTTTAGGTCATTTTTTTCTTATAGAAGCTGTGATCCAGTGCAGAATAAACTTGAGGAAAAGCATAACCTTCTGTGTCTTGTAATATGTGGCTGTTCTAACCTGTGGTATCTTCTGGGTAACTCAGACAAAAGCTCCATCACTGTCACAGAAGGTTGCTGCTGCCCTTCTGACAAGGAGTACAGTTGCTGTTTTTGAGCCAGTATTTAATCAATGTTTTTAACCTTTTGTTTGTTTGAGGCAGAGGTTTCTCTGTGTAGCCCTGACTGTCCTGAAACTCACTCTGTAGACCAGGCTGGCCTTGAATTCAGAGTTTTCCTGCCTCTGCCTCCCCAGGGTTGGGATTAAAGGCATGAGTGGCCACTGTCTAGTTGACCTGTGTCTTAAAGGATGTTTATTGTGTTTATTTTCCATGTTGGAGCAATCTCTTTGACAGAACCTTTCTTTTCTTTCTGGGGTTGTCATAGGCTTTGATGATGTGTCAAAGTGTCGAGTGGTTGTTGTTGCCAGAGGGACCCAAGTCTGTAGAGATAGCTCATAACTGATTTGTATCTGCACTAGGTAAATGGATAGAGGCTGTGGGCACTTTCTCTGATGTTTCACAGAAGTGGATTTTCTCACTTCGATCAGTGATCAGGTGTGAACCTGCCTCCGCCTGTCCTCCTGCCCCCATTCCTCATCACACATGCACTGTGTAGGGAACAGTTGGGAGGCAGCATTGGTTGTACCTGAGTGCCAGAACATTGTAGAAGCACAGCCGATGGGTCCTGAGGGAGCCCACTGTTGTCTGTCCACACAGAACATGCTATGCTCTGAAGGTCCTCCTTGAGTCAGGATTGCTGAAGAAGCACCCTGGAGATGAGGCAGCACAAGATGCTGACTGGCAGGCTGTGTGCTGAGGTCTGTTCTCTGTGACATCCTCTTCCCTGGAGACAGCATCATCTCTGCTCTCCTACACCCCAAAGTCTGTAGACTGAAGTGAAGATCCAGAGCTAAACCAACAGCACTGTCCTAGAATTTGGAGAGGATGTGGCTTCCTAAGGTGGAGCTTTTGAGTGACCTTAGTACCTGGCAGCCTGAGGGCAGACTCCCCTTCGAAAGCTGGCTTACAAGTCAGCTAATGTGAGAGCTGTGTGCAGTCAATGGAGGTAGGCCAGTGAGGAGATGGAGGAGAAATAATAGCCTGAGTGCCTTGTCACCATGGAAACTGGAGTTCCTGAGGCCACAACCCATGCTGAAGAGCTTTCGAGCATGCCCCTGACATGCTTGGTCCAGTATGCTATAGAGAAGGCGTTCTCTCACCTAAGGCCTTTCAGCAAGGCTTGCTGTGCGCTCTGTGTTCTCACTCGCCCACTCACTCGACCCCCAAAAGGTTTCTTAGGAGAAGGTTGTACCTATTCGTTATTTTTGATTATTTTGCATATATATATATGTAATTGTAAAGAAATAATATTGTCTTTTATATTCATGTAATACTCTGAAATTAAATTTTTTCTGTTTCATATCTGTGGGTTCTGACTGGTCTCTTGGCTCATGTTGCTTTGAAGAGAGGTAGCTTCTTGTCCTAAGGAACGTGATACTCTACAAAGGGCTCTTCACTGGTTTATTTTCTAATGGGGGAGGGTATGTGGGTGGGTTCAAGCTGAGTGGGACTTTGGCTGATGGAAATTTAGATGAGATAGCACACCTTCTTTCTTTCTCTCTCTCTCTCTCTTTTTCTTTCTTTCCTTTCTTTCCCTTCCTTCCTTCCTTCCTTCCTTCCTTCCTTCCTTCCTTCCTTCCTTCCTTCCTTCCTTCCTTCCTTCCTTCCTTCCTTCCTTCCTTTCTTTCTTTCTTTCTTTCTTTCTTTCTTTCTTTCTTTCTTTCTTTCTTTCTTTCTTTTTGAGCCGGGGTTTCTCTGTGTAGCCCTGGCTGTCCTGGAACTCACTCTGTAGACCAGGCTGGCCTTGAACTCAGAAATCCACCATAGCACACATTTCTAATCTAGTACTTGGGAGGCAGAGTACTAGGGTGAGTTAAGGCCAGTCTAGACTATGTAAACAAGATCCCTTCAAAACAAAACAAGGCTGAGGCTGGGCATGATAGCATACACCTTTAATCCTAGCACTTGGGAGCAGAGGACAAGGCTGAGGCTGGGCATGATAGCACACACCTTTAATCCTAGCACTTGGGAGCAGAGGTAGGTGAATCTATGTGAAGTCGAGGTCAGCCTGGTCTACGTAGTGAGTTCCAGGACAGCCAAGACTTTTTAGAGAGATCTTGTCTCAAAAAACCAAAACAAATACAACTAAAACAACAACTCTGAGCCCTGGGGTAGGTGGCCCCATTCCCTGAGGAGTGCAGGTTGTCTAAGTTGCTGCCTTGCTCCAAGTTATTCCGTATTGTGTGGAGGTGGCTTTTGGGCTCTGTGCCCCCAACAGACTCTGTTTTACCAAGAACACCCAACTTCCTTTTAGGTTGTCTTTACTCTTTGTGGGGTGGTATTAAGGAATGATTAATTCAGTTAAACCAAATCTGTGGACAAAAGAGAAAGAAAGGAAGCCATCACAGGTCAGAGGAGTGAAGAGTCCACAGCCAGTGTGCTGTAAAAGAGTAAGTTCAGAGAAACTCGGAAGACTTCAGTTGTCCACATGGACACGACCGGGGCACTCTGGACACATAGCAGCCATGGCAGTTGCAGACTTAAGTCTGTACTTGAGACAGTCGAATTCACCACATTTTATGATCAGTATCTATGGCAGTGGCTCAGATGGGGCAGAAATAACCTGAGATAAAAGTATAATAGGAAATAGGGTTGCATTGTTTATTGACAAGAATACATTCTGAGAGCTGGGTGGTGGAGGCAGAGGCTGGCTAATCTTTGTGAGTTCGAGGCCAGTCTGGTGTACAGAGGTACAGACAGCCAAGACTACACAGAGAAACACCGTATTGGAAAAAAAACAAAGCCAAGCAAACCAAAACCAAAGTAAGAATTAGTTCTGAGAAGTGCACCATTATAGAGTCTTTCTGTAGTGTGGCTTCATAGAGTGTACTTACACATGTGGTCTCAGGAGGCACAGGAAATAGGGTGTGAGGATGCTCCTGGCACAGTGTACCATGCTGCTTTGCAGAGAGAGAAAAAAATTTTTTTTAATAGTAGAGGAGTCCTCCCTAAAATAACGATGAAAAGTATAGCGTGGTGAGCAGTAACTCAGTACCATGGCTGTTTACCACCAGGGCCAGTGAGTACTGTTCATAGTTGTGTGGCTTACACTTTCGTACGGCTGGTGGCAAGGTAGATTGTTTTCTACCAACACCATCAGTAATTCATAAAGAACACACTACTCTGTGGATAACAGTTATGACTTCCCTAGGCCCTGGCAGTTTCAGCTCTGTGACACTTTCATGGTATATAGTCTCTTGTTTGAAACATTCGTGACCTGTAACTGCATATATTACAAGCATTATATCTAATGTTAAAAAATGAGTCACAAATGTAAGTACCTTAACTGTAAGCATCAGAGGAGCAGGTGGAAGCAGGGGGGAGCGGGGAGAGGGCCGGTGCATAAGAATGCAAACAGCAGGCACTGAGTTCAGATCCCCTGCACCCACAAAAACGCCACTGTTGACTTGGGAATCTGTAATCACAGTGCTGAGGTGGGATGGGCAGACAGGTGGATCTTGCTGGAAAAACGGTGTGTTCCAGGCTCCCTGAGAGCCCTGTCTCAACAGGGGGAGAGTGGGCTTGTTCAAGCAGGATGCTGATGTCCAGCCTCTGTGTACACAGTAAGCTAGAGAGATCCTGATTGACTTTCAGAGTGCTTCAGGTCCATGGGTGCTCTCTGTGTGTGTCATGTGACCTGACCTGTTGGTGGGACTGCACAAGTCCACTGTGGAAACAGCATTTTCTTCAGATCTGTCCAGTTTGATCTTCACATGGTTGTGCTATACCCATGAGCAGTTGCCTCTGGGAGGGAATGTCAACCTGAGAGTAAGAGTCTGTGCTCCATAAAGGAAGTCCTTTAATTTGCCCTGCTTCAGTCTGTGTAAAAGGCTGTGTAGGAATCTGCTCTACATGCTTACAGTCCTCAGCCTCAGAAGCTTCTAGAAGGAAGGTTAGAGGTCTCTTTTAGCTGCCTCCCTCTGTTCGTGTTCTTTCTCTCTCTCCCTCTGTATCTTTCTCCCTGTCTCTCTGTCTCCCCCCGCCCCCTCACAGGGTCTCTACATAGTCCCAGCTGTCCTAGAACTTGCTATGTAGACCAGGCTGGCCTCGAACTCACAGAGCTCCACCTGCCTCTGCCTCCTGAGTGCTGGGATTAAAGGTGTACACCACCATGCCCAGCCAGTTTTTAACATCTTAGAAAAGAGGTTTGTTTTATACAATGTATATAGTGCAGGACATGGCTTGTGTATTATGTTTGAATTTATGGGTCATTGAGGACCAGAATAAACTCTGCATTGTATTAGTGTCAAATCCATGATACATTGTATGAAGCAGACCTCTTTTCTTTCATGCTGGACATGTGAACTCTAGGACACTAATAACTGATGGCCAGGCATGGTGGTGGTTCAATTCCTAGCACCCACATGACACTTCACAACTGTCTGTAACTCCAGTTCCAGGTGAACCGAGCCCTCCTCTGGCCTCCACAGAAGATGCTATCCTCACATGCGGATGTAGGGGTGCAGTGTGTGGGTGGCTTTGTATCCAGTGGCAGGGCTGATTGAAGGCTATCTGAGGGAAAGAAGGCTCTCTGCAGGGTGACATGGGAGCCACTGAGGAAATCTAGCTGTGACCTGTGCCATGTGCTCTAAGCACAGTTGGCACAGAGTAGTCATGAGCAGGAGGCCTGAATTGAGCCAGTCTCCCACTATGAGGGATTCTGACCAATTGGTGCTTAGTAAAGAAGGAAAGAAGGAAACGGGTATGGTAGACCATGCTAGCCCTCAGCCCTGATGAGGAGGAGCACCCACTGCATTTTACATCGTACATCACAGACAGGGTGAGGGTGCTACACTGAGAACTTCTCACCCAGGCAGACCTCTGGAGCAGTCTGTCCCTGATACTTCCTCCGCCTCTCATTGTCAAAAGTCAGCAGAACTTGCTGTGTTAGATGTTTTAACTTTTTTTTCCACACACAAAGTCTTCACAGATATTATATCTCAAGTCAGAAAGCCCATATTTAATTTCTAGTGTCCACTCAACAAACTTAACTACGTGTTGCCTTCAGGCATAAAGCGGTCCAGTGTGTCTGTAATCACCATTTTGGCCACTAGGTGGCGGAAGCGACCTTTCACTCAACGCATTAGGCTGTAAGCTGTAGAAAGGGTGGAGGCGGCCCCTAAATCTTCCTGTCTGGCTTATTTTAGACAGAAGTGAAGTGAGTTGGATATATCAAAAATTAAAAATTTAAATTAGAAATGTAGTCTAGAGCAGATGAGCTCTTATACCAGGTGGAGGGAGGGGCTCAGTCCTACGAGTTGTCCTCTGAGACACACACACACACACACGCACACACACACACACATACACACACACTGATAAAAACTCCTTAGTCTAGGAATAACACACCTGTTTCCTACTGTCCTACAGGCTAATACCCATGTAGAAGTCACTTTATTAAAAGGCAACAAATTAAATGTTCACATTTAAAGCTTTCGTATTAAGACGTAACAGTAGAGAACACAAGGGGAGTTGTTTTAGGGGAGCACAGGAACCAACTGAGGTGACTAATGGGGAGGGCGGTGGGGGAGCGGTGAGGGAGGGCGAGCATAAACAGGGTATAAGGATATGTATGTGTGTAAACGTCACAGTGAAACCTGCTGTCCTCTATGCAGTAACTAGCCATTTTCAAATTATATTTCTTTATATGTGTGTGTGCGTGTGTGTGTGTGAGTGCTTGTGTGTGCTCGTGCACACACACCACACCTTGACATATATGTGGATGTCCAGAGGACAACCTGGTGGAGCCAGTTCTCTCCTTCCTCCCTGTGGATGGGGAGTGACTGCAGGTCGTCACCCTTGGCAGCAAGCACCTTGACCTGCTGAGCCGTCTTGCTGGATCATAACTAATAACTCTTTGGAACTTAGTAAGTGAAAAGCATTTCTTGTGAGGAACATTTTCTTCAATTAAAGAAACAAAGGCCTGCGATGATATGCAGGAGCCTCAGCTGTGAGCTGAACGTTTAAGAGAGCCTTCCTTGTTACCCACACTGGAGCGAAGCAGCCCTCCCATCCGATTGTGAGTCCTTGCTGGCCCCTGCCACCCTCGCATCTCCATTTTATATCAAGAATGAGGAAACATCCTGGAGAGGCCAAGTTCATTCTGTTGCAGGAGTTCTGGTGATCGGCCTAAGTGTGGAGGCTAGTCGCTCAGCCTCGGCATCCAGTGCATTTTCACAGCATTGTCTCTTGAGAGGTGACGGCAGTTACAGCCAGCTCAGTGTGTAGACAAACTTCTGAGCCTGAGCACCTGGCTCCTACTGTTGAAGACATATCTGTTGCTGCTGGGCCAGAAGAGGA